TTGTCTTCATTATAAAATGTTTATCCATAATTTTGATAATTATTTTAAATTTTAATCAATTAATAGTACCTATGTAGTTAATAGGTATTGGATATTGTTATTATTGTTGATATTATTTTAATTTGTATTAAATAATAAGGCCTTGAACTACAAACAAGTTATAGGTACTTATCTCAATATTTATAATATGATATTTTATAAACCTATAGTAGTATATTACTACAAATAATAATTATTTTAAACTACAATTTATTTTGTGAATAACTAATTCAGAAGTTAAACTCTAGAACAAAACGTTTGTGATATTTAAAATTAGGAAATGTATGGTACTAATTAATACAAATTAATACAAAACTAATTTTGAATAATAAGTAATTGAAATATGTAGTTTTTAACAGAATTTTTTATAACACTAAAAATTTACTCATAGTAACAGGAAAATTAACAAAAAAAATGTGTGAATGTGAGGGCGTCTCTTCATTCTTTTCGAAATATCAGTTGTAGGCGTTTGGCGTACCTAATGATTATAAAACGATGTATGGAACGATAACATTTTATTATTAAGAGGATGTCGCAATATTTGTTTTCTCTCAGACCCACGCACAACATACCTAAATAAAATAGTTTTTACGATTTTTGAGCAATCTTAAAGTAAAATCATCTATTATAAAAATTATAGACATAGAGGATTATATTTCTAAGGATTTGGAATACCTATGTATATATATTGTGTTTTGTTATTATCTTGCTTTATACTTAAAAAATACATTTTAATTGATATTAAATTGATTTATCGTGCTTGTCAATTTTTTTTTTACAAACGACTGGCTAGCCTTTACAACTTACTAGGAAAAGATGATTAAAATTATTTTTTTTATTTATAGCCTCGGCATCTAAGGCTATTGGCTGCAACAATTGTACAAGATTTACATAATATGTATATTTAAAACACGTTAATATATTATTGTAGTATAGTTACAAATGATAAATTAAATTAGTCTTAATTATAAATTATGTCATTGTGTTATTTGTGATGTCTGCATGGATGGAGGGCTTCAGGCCTTCAGAGATGATGTCTGGTACCTACTCCTCTTTCCCGTTTATTCGTTTCATGGGAGAGAAAGATTATTATTATAATTGTTTGAAAAGTTTAAAATCTATCGACCAGCGGCCTTATATTATAGCCGAAAATGTCGAATTTTAGATAAAGTTTATTTTTTAACAAAGATTACATTCAAATATAATCAAACAAATCCACACACTTTCCAGTTCACACCATCTGGCCATTCATGTTTAAAAGAGTTCAGTTAAATTTTAGGTAATAGGCGAGGTGGGTAATAATAATAAGTATTACTATTATTATCCACACCGGTAATAGCCAATATAGTATTGCAAGGTGCAATGATATAAAATATGATCACATAATGTTATAATAATTATTAATTAATTTAATTACATCTATCTTAGTTACTAAACATGCCAATTAACATATAATGATTCAAGTCTTAGCAATTGACCTTTATTTAATGCTTTATAGAAATATGATAAAAATAATCATAATATATTATACGTAATTTAATTTAATAAGTCTATATAGTGGGGTACCCTACAACCGTTGTCCGTTGCCACCTGCAAATGCGAATTGCATATTTTATATTATACCTATTATAAATTATTGGTCCTAATTATTTTAATATTATTTAATATTTAATAATATATTATTAATAGCTGTTAAACTAAAATAGTCAACATCGGCGTACCACGTAGGTACCGTAGAGCGGTTTGAATAGGTTCGTGGTATTAAATGTTTTAAAAATGTCGTGTATAATGTATATAATAAATAATAATATTATATTTATACGTGGGCACATGACATCCCAATACGTCGTTACTTTTTGTTTGAATATTCAATTTCGTCAAAATTTGAATTTGAAACGTATAAGTGTAGATTTGTCAGGAACGTGAACCTTATAAGCTCTTACAGAATAATATCGTGCCAATGAATTTTCGATACTTAATTTCTAAGAGTCCAAATTTTGATTAATTTTGTAAGTATTTCTTAAGGTTTATGACGTGCTACCGATACTTCAGAATTCCGATACAACGGTTTACCGATTTCCATCGTTTTTTTGTCACTCATCTAGTCATCTGAATATTTTTCATGACTTAAAGATTCCCCGTTAATCGTTTGACACATCAACGATAAATAGTTCATTGTCAAACTTATTTGTTTTTAACCTGAAACTTTACCTTTTTATTTTTACAAATTTAAGTACAGAATTACGTAATAGATCTGTTAAATAAGTGTAACTAATTATAACTTAACGTTCTATTTTTTTTTGTCTTGCAAACGTTTAAACTACTTTTCAATATTCAATACTTCAAAAGACAAATTTAAACTAATAATTAGTAGGTAGTATAGGTATTTACCTAATATGAGTAATATCTATTTAGTACATACCTAATATTATTATCCATCTGTTATTTGGTTATGTGCAGTCTTCGAAACTTCGCCAACGACCATACCACGTTCTCGTCCGATCACTGAAGTTAAGCAACGTCGGGCGTAGTTAGTACTTGGATGGGTGACCGCTTGGGAACACTACGTGCCGTTGGCATATCTTTTTGTTTTATAATCATCATTATCAAGCATCAATTTAGTTTTTATATTTGTTTCAGCGATATAGGTAATTTCACTGTGCCCAACAGATTATAATATTAAATTATATTATTATTAATTTTTAGCTATGAGATACTATTGTAAACTGATAAGTTTCAAATATTTTAAGAAAATAGCCAACACCTTTAAAAAAAATCATTTTTTTTTTGTGGAAACATTCAATATATTAATTTCAATATTACTATTTAAAACCGTGTTCAATAGTCATCACTTTAACTTGAATTTCCTGAAAAAAAAATTGTTCTCAAGTATTTGATATTAGATTTTAAGCGGACTGAGTGGAGCAATGATAAGATTGTTGTAAAAATGACGTGTGTTATTTATTTATTTTTTGTGCCTGCCAACACTTTTGGAGTATTAAGAAAAATCAAAATGCTTCAAACCGGAACTTCATCATCTTTCCTTGGTGGATCCACTTATTGATAGTTAGATACTGTTAAATCGACCAAGTATAGAGTATAGACGCATAGTTAGCAGCCGTATCAGCTCAATATCGGTTATCAATTGTATTATTATAATAATTATTAATAATACGTCATGACCATCGGCATCGGTTTATTATTATATTCTGTGATAGATGTAATGTTACTAATTGTTTTTAATAATACTTAAACAACATAATACTGAATAGTAATTTAATATTATCTACTGACTATTACCAATAATTGTATATTACATGTTTTAATATTTAATGGTTTCCGTTGAGCACACGGTCACATGGGTAATTTACTAATTTGTGTAACTAGTATAAACTACTACTAGGTAAAAGGTACGTATGTATAAGTTATAACATTACTATTTACTACAATACTACTAATACTATTTACTCTTATTATTTGAAACATTATACATTAAAAATAGTATTAACATGTTGCTAAAATAATAATAAATTATACAAAATATTATCTATAAATTAAATTATAATTTACAGTTAAAACTTAAAATCTTCTTAGTTATTACCATTGTTTCATTTTTGTAGACTATAGGTCTTGTAACTTTGGTTTTGAGAATTATACTCCTATATAGTATAATATAATATAGATTTAGAAATGCTATTCATGTCCATAAGCGAAAAATGTACAGTAAGTAATAAATACTGGTAGGTACCTAAAAACTAAGATACATTTAATATACAATTATAGTGTAAACTAAAATACTGTTAATTTAATATTCTGCCGGAATTCGATACAAACATATCTAAATCCAACGACACGATTAATTTTTTGTGTTTTATGTGAAGTAAAAAACTGCAGATTTTAATTCACGAATTCAAGCTTAATTATTTTAAAGTCATAAATATTTTGACTGTAAAAAGCTCCTTGTTTTCCTTGTATTGCTCTATGAATGGCAACCGACTGTCGTTCTTAAAAAATAAATTATACGAATTAGTGAGCTTGTTTCTGCTTCGTATACAGTTTTTTTGAATTGGAATAATTCAAAACATTCAATTATTTCAATCATCGTAGGCGTACTGAAAAAATAATTATGAGCAAATGTTTAAAATATTTTGACTCTTTTCGAGCTATATTTACAGGCAATCTCGTATTATTTAAAATTTATTTTAAAAAAAGCCAAATAATTTTCCAACATTATCTATAATGAAATTTTAATGTTGGTAATTCGAGCGAAGCCTTACATTTTGTTATATTATCTTCATTATAGTTGTAGTCAGTTCCACTTTCCCAATATTAAAAGTACCTAGTCGGAAATCGAATTAGACTTTATTACAGAATAACGAGCCATTATAATATAATTACGAGTATTACAACAATGCGCACACAATATTAATGCATTTAATTGGTGTACTTAATAATGGACGTACTTTGAAGACAATAATATACTGTCACTTTATTGTAGACTAAATATATTGTAGTTTAACATTTAACGATGTTGACTAATTTATATGTTACTCATCTATCAACTATTAGCGATCGACTAGTAGCGTACGCTACTGCCCACTGAATTACCTAATATTACCATAATTATTATTTATTTGCACAGAAATCGATAAATACGTCAATTATGATTTTAAATTTTCGGTTTGCTTCGCTTCGACAGTCCACAACAGTCTTCAGTATAGTACAGCCGCTGCTGTCCGTATATAATGTTATAATTGTCAGTTAAAATTGCTTACGTTTGAGAGTATCTATATATGATAATAAATAATAATAGTTGCGCCGTAATATACAAATTCATATATATTTTTTGTATTTCTACGTGCTTTATATTAATAATTTACTTATGTAATTGAGTTGTAATACTTATATTACTCGTTTTGATATCGAGCACCTGTTCGTCAGGTATATTATATATAATTTAAGCTTCCATCTATCGTTAAGAGAAATATGTCTGTACAAGAAGTGCTAGAGATTGAAGTAGGTGCTACACCCGAATTATCTGAGCCCATATCTGGAGAACCTATGGAAGAAATAATTGCTGGGATGAACTTATTGTCCGATGATGAACTAAAAACAAAATTGAATGAAATGTACAAGCTGCAGTGCTCTCCTAATCTCGAAGTAGCCAAGGAATTCAGTGAGTTTGCTAAATATGTACCATCGTGGTTACTGAAAAAAAATTATGAACAGAAATTTGACCCTAAGGTTATTCTATCTTATATTGCTGAACAAAATTCTGATAAAAAAGTTATGGACAGAGATATTAATGTGTTGGTTAAGTTGGGGGTTGAGAGAGGAAACGATTTGGAAAAAATCGTCATAAAATCATCACCAGAATTTAAATACGAACTTGAAAGACTTATAATAAAATATAAATTAGTCTCAGAAGCTAAAAATTCAAATTCTGCCTTGACTTTATCCAGAATATGTGAGAGCGTCCCAATAATAACATGCTTAAACCTTAAAAATGAAGCTGAAAATCCTTTTGTATCTTTTGAAACTATGGAGACTATTTGTAAAAACTATCCTAGAGTGATGATGACGTCTGCTTTCGCTTATCTAATACCAAATAAAGAAGACGAATTTTGTCTATTTTTAAAAAAAGCCCACTTGCTTCATCAATACCAGTTTTATGCTAAAATATCGCAAAAGAGTCCGAGTTCCTCAGTTGATGATGAAAATGAATTAATTTCTAAGGTGTATGTGAATACTCAAGCAGCTATCAATGGATCACACATGGAGTATGATGTTCAAATAAAGTTTTTAAAAGAAAATGAATTAATCGTGGAAGGGGAAAATGAAATAACTGCCACAGAAGAAGTTCAAGAAGCAGTCAAGTTGTGGGACGAAAAAGAAAGACAACACGAATTAGAACAAAAGTTTTCTTGTGTCGAACTTGAAGATGACTCGAGTCTTATATAATTTTATAGGACATGTACAAAATATAAAATGTATAGTATTAAGTTTTATTTAAACGTGTAAACACATAAAGAAAAATGATTTCATACTTTTATGTTACCTCAATTTTGAAATGTAAATGATGTAGCCGTAAGGTGTGGAGAATGTTTGACTATAGTATTTAACTATAATATTTAATTCAGAGTTTTAACTTAACTCCGTTGTTTGAAATTATATAAAATTGTTTTAAACTAACTCATGCAATCTATTATACTATTAAACAGTTAATTATTAATGTACAATATTAAAACAAAAACTTATTAATTGTTTCACAATCATAATCTTATAATAAAATTAATCTTATACATTTTATTTTCAAAGCTGGTATCATTATAATTTATTGTTTTACTATTTACTATTTACTACTTAAACAGTTATACGTTTTAATTAATCAATAATCATAATATATGGAAATATTTAGAATGAAATCAAAAATATCAGAATTTATTCCACAAACATTTAAATATCGATAAACACTTTGTTTAAATGAGCTATTCATTAACAATAAAAAATCTTATGCAACTACATAATTGAGCTCCGAACTTATACGCTTCATAATTTGGAGTTTAGACCCGGACAACGCTATTGTTGATTCATTTCGTTCGCTGTTGATGGGTATTTATGTATATAATTATAAAAAAAGTAAAAGATATCTTACTCTTCAAAATATTAGTCATTTAATAAACTATTATTCGGTATAGATAACGTAAAAGCAATACAATAGTGTTAGGTATGGACTGGCATATCTGACGATTGGCGAAGAAGAATCTATTTGAAAAAAATGTGAATTTACGAACACGCACAAAGCATAGTATTATGCAAATATATTTTGTATTAGGTTCGTTAAACTTAAACACGATATGACGCGGTCGTAAAGTTATTATGATTCGACTATAAGGAACAATAAAAAGGCATACGTTTTTATTTTCAGATATTTTTTTTAAGGTATGTGCATCTTTCCATTACCTATTTATTTAAAGTATTATTGTTGGCATCTGTGACTGTTTTATTTATTTATTTATAGCAATATCATATATTGAGATTCGTAGAATACAAAGATTTGTATGAATAATTGTTGACATAAACATAAATGTTATTCGAAATTGCATAAAATAAAGTATAAATACAATGGTAAATATTATAAAAAACAGGGGAACTTGTTCTACTGTATGTATAGACAGAGGTCGTTTGGGCGCGTTTAATAGCTTTGACCAAAACATTAATAATTATAGTCTGTATACGAAATTTGTTTAACCTAACGAACAATGATTCTTAGTGGAATGAGCCCATCAGCCAATATTATTACTTAGAATATCATATCATATTATGGTATTAGCGAGCCTAGGATATTCTATATTCTATTTTTATATTGCCGTTAGAAATTTATTTTACTTTTAGTCTTATGGTAAATTGATTTAAATTTTGTCGAAAACATTGCATATAACATTATTATAACATTAGTACCTATTTAGTTTTTTGGCTTCAGTGTGAAACATTTATGATGAACCTCACCTACAATTTTCAAGTCGTAGCTATTAAAATGTTATGACTTTATGAGTTACATTAACAACAAAATAATTTACACATTTTCGTGATATTGAGACGAATTTTGTCAATATTTGAACTTCTTAAGCTAATAAAAAATAATCATATCTTTGTTTTAAATAGTTTAATTTTTTTTTTTTCTATAAATGTCATTAACATTTTATTTGTTTGATCAAAATGATAAAAAAAAATAGAAGGCTGCACATAAATTTAAAAATATTAAAAATACAGTCAAGATTTTTTTTCATAAGCATTTAAAGTTCAAATGTTGGCAAAATGTATCAAAAATTAAAATCTAAAAAAATATGTTTAGTCACAGTTTTTTTCATAGTTACTTTAAGTTCAATTTTGACGAAATTACATATTAAAACCAAAAATAACGATTAAACGCAATTTTTTTGACAAAAATGAATTTAATATCTATTCTGACTACTGTAGTACTAATGCGGAGTAATGCTTAATGGTAAAGTAAATTACTTTGATCACAATGATATCATAATAGGTATACCTACCTACTTAGTATTAGAATCGTTTTTCGTATATAATGATTTTATATCATTGAATTAAAATTTAAGAAGACTCGCGTGTGTTTTTACAAATGTTAAACATATCAAAAAAAAAATAAAAACAATATCTCATAGATAATGTGATAATTATTTTTTATGTAATATCAATTTGGAGTCATAAATCATAATTATCAGTTATCACTACGGCATTAACTCATTATATTAACACATCCATTACAGTGACCGTCACACATGGCTAGCGAAGGTATTGTACGTTGCCCCCTATAAATCTTTAAAATAAAACAGAACATTCAAACAATTATTACTTAACCTGAATTTTTAATCCTTTCAATAGTCAATACAACATAAGAAAACAATTAGTCCAATATTATGTACTTATTAAATGTATATTGTATAGATTCACACTATTTGTAACAAATTTATTTAAATAGATTATCTATTAAGATTCGCTCAAAGATAATATTGATTGATATTTGATTGTTTACCGAATTGGCATGCCGAGGAAAAAAGGTTGAGCATCACTGCTCCAGACTAATGAACAGCAACGCGTTATTCACTTACTCACTATTTTTAAACAAGTTTTTTTGTTTGGTTTTCGCTTTTTTTGTGAAATAAACAACCAAAGAAAACATGTTATAGATATTTTTAGAAAAAAAAAAAATAAAAACAACCGACAATTTTAAATGTTTACATAAGTACCTACCTGTCTCCAAGAACATCAAAATATTATGGAAATTTTATCACTCACAGAAAATGATAATATTAAAGTTTCAGTTTCAGTTATTTGTTTATTGAATTACACAGCATAATATAATTACATATTTTTGCTGCAGCAATAAAACAAAATCGATTTCGAAGAAAACTAATTTGTACTTATTGTACCTAGGCCACTAATTAAGACAAGCATTTACAAACAAAAAAATAATATTTTTTAACATTAATTAAAAATAAAATATTTTCGTCTACTTCCACGTATAAGTTGAACTATAGGTAAGCTTGCTCTCCCTTTTAATAAATGCATATTGAATTTTTTTTTTTTATTGATCCTGAGCCCGGCAACTGTGGCCATTAGCTTTTTAGTAGGTATTGTAGATTTGTAGGTTTGTATTGATGGTTTGTAGATTTTTTGGTACGGTAGGGGGGAACACGTGTGTGTTTGTTTTTGGCAGAATTTCGAATGGGGCACCCGTAGGTTTCTGCCATGCCCCGGGGGTGGGGGATGGCATGCATATTGAATTATTAATTATTTATTGTAACTATTTTTTTTAAATTTGGTTTTTTTTTTAACTACAGTTCGACAATTAAAATATTGAATTTACACAATCAAAATGAACATTATCACAATATATTTTATTGCACATTAATTTGATCGGAACGAACGTTATTTCAATAATAAATGTTGCTGAAAACGTCGCTTAACTCGACTAACGGTTTGTTTTTTACGCAGTGGTATATTTCATATTGTAATGTTGTGGAAACGTCGTGAAATATTGTGGAAACATTTTGAGCATTGTGACAGCGAACATTGAGAATACGTAGAACAGGAACCCATGCCGCGTTCGCGATGGCCCGTTGTAGTCGTACGAGCAGTACAACCGCCGTCGTCGCGATCACCGACCGCGGCGTCGCCGCTGCCGCCGCCGCCGAAACTGAAGAGCAGTGGCGACTAGTGCATGAGGCCCTGGTACCGTCGACTCCGTAACGTATATCCCTGCGCTTACTTTCCCGGTCAACGCGATTTGACCGCGGACCGAAAATGATTGTTTTCCGTGCAGTTTCATTGATACGAGCGTCACAAGGCCCCGCGGCGTCTGTACGGTCGGTCGGCGGCGGTACGGTTCACGATCACGATCTCACATTCTCGTGCAGCGGCCGCCGATGCGCACGATCCCGGTGGCGAATGTTTCCGTCTTTTGATTGTAAAACAGAGAGCGCGCGCATTTCGAATTATTTAGTCCGAATGCATGGCCTGCTTCGATAAGGGGCAATGTGTAGGCAATATGCGATTTCTCTGCCGCCGCCCGTTGCACTTGTGTCAGTCGTCAATGATTATAATATTATTGGTGTGAGCTACGCATTATTGACTTGTCATATTTTGTCAAACGAACTATTTTATTTTACCAAAAATTAACCTATACTAGTTACTTGGAAAATGGGTTATCTTCGATGGCGATCAATGACCGTGCTAAATATGCTTACAAGTTACGACACTGTTAAATGATATTGTTTCGTTTCACAATAATAATTGTGTTATTAGACGCAGGTAATCGGAGAACCAATTTCGTGTGGATTCACGCTCGTCACAATTTAATGATTTCCTAATGTCATATTGTATACGAAAAACGATTCCTAGCGGAGACGGTATGTGAGTCTAGAATATTTTTTATTGTTATTACTTATTGTTAATGCGGTAGCCGGTATAATTTGAATTAATATTATTCACAAAATTATTCTTAAATTATCAGTGATGATGGAAAAATATTATGTATACTTGTGTAAAATTGTGCTGCTTTGGAACCGAATTGCCATAAAATGACTAAAATTCTTTTCGTGTGTTAATATTTTATTTCATCTAAATTTGAATTTAAAATAACTATAAAAAAAGCTGTGTTTATGATTATTTTGAGTTTTTTATGGCGAAAATTTCAACTTCAATAGTTGTTCGTTTTTGAATTACAACAAAATAAGAAAATCGCTACATGAGAAATCTAGTGAATATCTAATGTTGTAAAAATGTCAACTTCATACTCTCAGAAAAATTTAATACTTGACTTTCGGGTAGAATTTTGTTTGATAAAGGTAGACAAATTTATAAGAAATCTTGTATTAAATTTTCAAATCTTAATTATAAAAAGAAAATGTTTTATTAATTTCTAACTTAAAGTAATTTGC